GTACTCAGTACTCAGTACTCAGTACGCACGTTCAAGCTCAAGAGATAATCTTGTTGTTCAGGCAATTTGCGTGGGCAGCGGAGCTAGGCGCGGATCGGAAGAAGTTAGTGCCTGCCGCCCATGTTCTTTGTGTTCTTTGTGTTCTTTGTGTTCTTTGTGTTCTTTGTGTTCTTTGTGTTCTTTGAGCCTTCGCGGCAGGGATCAGCGTATCGCAGGTCTGTAAGTATAAGAACCCGTTGGCTTCTGTCAGTAGGCAAGCTATCCCATCTCTTCATGCAGGGCGATAACATCGAGAAACGACTGGGCGCCCTGGAAGCCACCATCCAGCACAGCCATCATTCAGTTGTGGAGTCTCTGCGTGGCATCCAGGCCGAACTGAGATCAGTCCGCAAAGAGCTTAGGCATATACGTGTGGATCTCGACGCGTTGGACGGCCAGGAGTCGGAGCGGGTCTCTTTCGCAGGTGTACACAACCGCACCACTGAGAGTATGGCTACCCGACCTGGACTGAGCACTGGCAATAATCACGAAGGCGAGTCATATAGTTCGTGCGAGCCGCATCATCACCCTAAAGGAGCTCGTAGGGACTAAATTCGATGTTAACTGGCAATGGTCGAACGGCGCCGCGACCGACTCTTCGACTGTCCACAAGTCCCCTCCGTTTGAGACAGCAAAACCTAATGCGCCCGAGTTCGGCAGCCTGTTCAAGCCACGGGCGACCAAGCCCATACCAGGCAAACCCCTTGGTGTTACCCGTCCCGTCCCTACCACCACCACAGAGTCGTCGGTACCTGCTGGAGGTACGTAACTCACTTTCCGCGTTTCTCAAGGGCGCGGTTGAACATGTATGTCAGAGTCAAATGATCAGTCACTCCAGAAATCTGCAAATCAAGTACCGGCGAAGATCGTCAGTCAGAAAGCGAAGTCTGACGCCAAACGAGCAAACGCCGGCAGCAGTAAGTACCCATCAAGCTCGCCTTGACATCGCTGAGCGCGAACAAAGTCCTGATGTCTGTTGCAGCACTACCATCCGTTGAATTGCCGCCCCACGTGCATGGCACAAACGTTGGCCAGGAGAATAAGACTGACAGGGCCGAGCGTGAGTGCGCAATCCTGCCCGAGAGTCCTTCGAGTGTAACCGAATTTTGATAGCCCACGCTTCATTGGGCGTGACTTCGGAGACTTCTGAGCCTAAGAGCCATTCGGAGGCGAAGAGTGTGGTGAAGGACATCTGGACATCGACGCGACAGGGTCAGTTAATAGATATACGTAGTGACGACGAGGAGCTGTAGGTCGTTGCGTCCATGACCCTCGTATAGTTGCTGTCTGGGTATAGGTAGACCAATTCCAGCACAGAAGAGGGAATACATTATCATGCTGCACGTCGAGTCTCACGTCGTATGACTCCCAAAGGGCATAAGAGTCGTGAGCAAATCGTGAAAGTGGCGAAGCGGGACGCCCGTGCTCACGCGGCCTCGCGCTGTTCGCCTCCTACCACGATGTCACTTCAGATACGTTTGGATCTCGCCCAATCAACATCAAATCAGCCGTGTAGACCGGGCAATGTGTAGCAGCGGCTGGTAGGAAGAGTCCGTCATGTATTTCAGGTACGCCGTCGGTAGTTGTTACTGCCTCCAGAGCTTGATATCTTTTCTAGCGTCACTATCTTTTCTACCACCTCGATATATGACAGCCTTCACCCAACAAATATTGCTCAATCTGGTCTCACGGCGTATGGGACGATACCACCTGATGCGTACTTATAAGCGCTTATGGTTGTAGCGCCTCGCCCGTGTGGCTCACGGCAGTCGACGTCCTCGATGAGGGCTCTTGTCGCGAGCGGATGTAGCTTCTCGCAATCTACACGACCAGAACTCGCCTAGAAGCACGCCGTTTGATGTGAGCGCCCATGGATTGCATCGCAGTAAGTGCCCCTTCGCTCCATCCGACAAAGTTGTGTACATGAGAACACTTGCAGGCTCACTCCACCACAACGGTCTAAACGGAATCCTCGCCGACGAGATGGGTCTCGGCAAGACGCTCCAGACAATCTCCTTCTTTGCCTATCTCAAGCATGTCCAAGATGTCCACGGTCCTCGTCCCGTCGTCGTCCCCAAGTCTACCTTGCAGAACTAGGCACGTGAGTTCGAAAAGTGGGCCCCTAGCTTCAACGTGCTCTCGCTCTCGGGTTCACAGGACGAGCGCGACAAGCTCATCGCAGTCGTCTATTGCCGCAGGACTTCGACGTGTGCATCACGACATACGAGCTATGCCTGATCGAAAAGGGTGCGCTCAAGGAGCTGAGCTTCGAGTACATCGTCATCGACGAGGCCCGCCGTATCAAAAGGATGAGGGAGCGGAGGATGCGCATGACGAGAAGAGCAAGAAGGTCGTCGAGGCGCTGCATAAGATCTTGCGGCCATTCTTATTGCAGTCGTGTCAAGGCCGACGTCGAGAAGAGCTTGTTGCCGAGTAAGTGGTCTCCTTGCTCTCCTCCCGCAAGCAAAAACTAACATTCCTTACAGCGAAGAATATCAATATCATCATCCCGCTCGCCGAGATGCAGCGCAAGTGGTACCGCTCCGTGCTCGAGTAGGACATCGACGCCGTCAACGGTCTCACCAGCAAGAAAGAGGGCAAGACGCGCCTTATCAACATGGTCATGCAACTCCGCAATCACCTGCCACCCCTACATCTTCGATGGCACCGAGCCCGGTCCGCGGTCCGCCGTACACCACCGACGAGTACCTGGTCGAGAACGCCGGCAAGTTGGTTGTCCTCGACAAGCTCCTGCGCAGGATGAAGGAGAAGGGCTCGCGCGTGCTCATCTTCAGCCAGATGAGCCGTATGCTCGATATTCTAGAGGACTGTTGCTTGTTCCGAGAGTACAAATACTCCGGATCGACGGTGGTACCACGCATGAGGACCATATTGCCGCGATTGACGAGTACAACAAGCCGGATAGCGAGAAGTTCATCTTCCTGCTTACGACGCGTGCTGGTGGTCTCGGTGTCAACCCTACAACGGCCGACATTGTTGTACTGTACGACGGCGACTGGTGGGTTCTTTGTCTGCATCGCGTGTGCCGTATTGTGCTCTGATTGTACTTCAGGAATCCTCAGGAGGATGTGCAGGTCATGGACCACGCTTACCGTATCGGTTAGACGAAGCAGGTCTATGTCTACCGCTTCGTCATCGAGGACAGTGTTGGAGCGTGCCGCTCAGAAGTTACGTCTCGACCAGCTGGTCATCCAGCAAGGTCGCCAGACGGCTCAAAAGCGTACGCATATACCATCACGCATATCATGTTCACTGATGCTGATGCGGATTCGCAGAGGCAAACAAGGAGGAGCTGAACTCGCCCTGCTAGGGTTCCCGCTTTGACGACCTCGCCAACTTCAAGTCCGAGTCTACCGTGCAGCAATGAGAAGGCCAGGACTTTCGTACCGGCCATAACCGGCTGGTCCTGAACCTTCTCGAACCCACCAAGCGTGCGCGCAAGACGAACTACAGCGTCGACGCGTACTACAAGGGCCGGACCGGCGCAGAAGGAGAAGGTGGTGAAGATGCCCCGTGCGCCGAAGCAGGTCGGCATGCAGAACTTCCAGTTCTTCCCGCCGCGACTGGCGG